CTGGACCCCCATGTGCCCGAGGTGCGTCACAGGCATGGGATCGCACAGCGAGGAGTGCCGGAAGAGGATCGAGAACGAGCTGCGCAAGGAGGAATGGCCAGGGCAGCGGCGGAGGCCGCGCCCTCGTCGGCAGCGGCGGGGGCTGCGCCGACGCCGGCGGCGGCTGGAGCCGCGCCGGGGCCAGCGGCTGGAGCTGGAGACGGCAGGCCAGGATCGTCCGGGGATGCCAGCATGGCACCTCGCGACGACCAGGGCGAGGCTTCGGCGAAGAGGCCGCGCCAGACAGCGGCGATCACAGTCGGGTCGCTCGCGGTCGGGGCCTTCGTGGAGATCAACCCCTGCACGTACGAGGGCCTAGACCAGCAGTCTCACGAGGAGCTCGAGACGGTCACGGAGATCGAGAGCTGCGAGCCGCTGGAGATCGGGATGTTCGAGGTCAGCCCCGTCGAGCCAGCGGCGATCACGGTCCTGCCAGACGCGGAGAAGCACGTGTACGACGCGAGGAGCGGGAAGGAGCTCCCCAGGGACCTGGTCAGGCGCGGACGCGAGGCCGAGATCGAGGAGATGCGGCGACACGGCGTCTTCGAGGAGGTCCGCGTGGCCGAGAGTCGGGGCAAGGTGGTGCGTTTCAAGTGGGTCGAGGACCTGCGCGCCAAGGACGGCGCCCCCTTCGTCCGTTCCCGAGGCGTAGCCATGGAGATCAACACGTACGGCCGAGAGGACTGCAACGCGGGCACGCCGCCGATCGCCATCGTCAGGGCGATCGTCTCCTTGGCGGCTACGAAGGTCGGAGGCATCTCTCGGTGCATGACGTGCACGTGGCGTTCTTCCACGCCGACCTCGACGAGTGGATCGTCGTCATCCCGCCCCCGGGACTCAGGAGAGACGGGTACGTGTGGCAGCTCCGGAAGGCCATGTACGGCACGCGCAAGGCGGCACAGGCTTGGCAGGAGTACGTGGCCGGGGTGTTCAAGAAGAACAACTGGACGCGCATCGCGGTGGCGGCGGGCGTGTACCACGAGCCTCTCTTGGACATGACCTCGGCGATCCACGGTGACGACATCCTGACCGAGGGCGAGGAGGAGTCCCTGGATGTCCTGGACCAGCAGCTGATGGCGAGCATGGACGTCAAGTGCATCGGTCGTGTCGGGCCGGATGGCGTCCGCGAGCTCCCGTACCTCAAGCGCAAGATCAGGTGGACGGGCAAGGGATTCGTCTGGATCGGCGACACGAAGCACGTGACGAGATGCGTGGAGCTGCTGAGCCTTACGGAGTGCAAGCCAGCGGACACGCCTGGGAGCAAGGCCACGGGCAAGAGCGTCCGGGAGGCGCTGGACCCACTTCCACACGACGAGGCGAAGCTCTACCAGCAGGTCGCGGGGCTCGTCAACTACGTGGCGGTAGACAGGCCAGACATCCAGTTCGCAGTGAAGGTGATCCTCACGGACATGGGGAAGCCCACAGTCATCAGCATGCTTAGGCTGAGGCGGTGTGTGCGGTATCTCCACGGTCGGCGCGAGCTCGGGTGGTTCTACGAGAAGCAGGAGATGCCGAAGGAGGTTCTCTACGAGACGGACTCGGACTGGGCAGAGGATGAGATCACTAGGAAATCGACCAGCTCCGTGTATGGCTTCTTCGGCAGCCACCTCCTGGAGACCCAGGTGGCATCGCAGCCCGTCGTCGCGCTCAGCAGCGGAGAGGCCGAGTTCTACGCCATCGGCCGAGGCGCGGCGAGTGCGATCATGATGCGGCAGTTCTACCAGCAGTGTGGCATCGAGGTCGCGTCGAAGGTTCACAGCGACTCGAATGCAGGCAGGGCGATCGCGACGCGGATCGGCAGTGGCAAAGTACGGCATCTACAGATACGGGACCTGTGGGTGCAGGAACGAGTCAGGCTCGGCGAGTTGCAGCTCGGGCGAGTCGACACGGAGAGCAACAGGAGCGACTTGGGGACCAAGCATCTGGACGGCAAGCGGGTGCTCAAGTTGCTGGAGATGTCCAACCTGCGGCTTCTGACCAAGGGGCTCGCCGCAGGTGTGGGCGTCACTTTCGCGGAGGCGGCCGAGCATGGAGACAAGCAGTGCTCTGCAGCCGCCGACGACGAGGTCGAGTCGAACATCGGCTCGATCGTTCTCGCCGTGATCATGTTCATCGTCGTGCTGGTGCTCATGGTCAAGGGCGCAGTTGTGTGCACGAGAGGGGCGGTGCAGCTCTTCTCATCGAGGGCGGCGAGTGCTGCCCCACCAGCGGGAGCGGCGAGGGCTGCCCCGCAGGCCGACGGCACGGCGAGGCCCGAGGCGGCGTCGAAGGACGCGCCTGAGGGGCATGTCGTTTCTCGGGCAGCGGCGATAGCTGCGCCTGAGCAGGTCGCCGAAGGGCGAGACCTCGGTACGGAGTACCTCGGGAAGATGCTGGCTGAGGCCACCGTGGCAGAGCTCAAGGAGGAGCTCAGGTGGCGGAAGCTGCCAGTGAGCGGCTTGAAGGCGGACCTCATCGTCCGTCTGACGAGGGACGGCGGCCAGCACATGGCCAGCAGTGAGGGGCTGGCTGCAGCGGCGTGGGCCGCGCGGCTGGTTCCAGGCAGAGTGCCCATCCGAGCGTTCCGCTCGGACGCTAGTCTAGGCGCGCACCTAGGCGCGCTTCTCAGCAGCACGGGGTAGGTCCGCGCCGAAAGAAGGACCCTTTGAGGGCCACCCAAGACGGGTGAGGGCGCGGCCAGAGGCCGCTCCTTTGAGCCGAGGGCGCGCGTCAGGCGCAGGCGCGCGGGAGCCACGGCGGGGACGCCCGCTTTGGCTTGAGCTTGAGCCTTCAGAAGGGAGGCTCGAGCCGCAGTACAGAGAAGATGCAAGGCGATGCGCTCGCCTGCATCTTGGAGGCGTGTTGACTGTACATGCTAATCTGTAGCCCCTTGGTCCAAGTAAAAACCATCGACACTGCCGCTTGGTTAGATTCGAGCAACTAGGTTCTGAAGTCGGCGGAACTGCTTCTTGAATTCTAGAAGGTGGCTTCTTGAATTCAAGAGACGGTTGTCTCCAGTACCGAACAAATTGGCTTAACAAAAACAACAAAAACAGACAACACTCGCCCGTCCACGCGGGGCCTCGCCCCAAAGACTTGACGAGTGAAACGCGTGCACCGCGCCCAAGGGGAGCGCCACTCTCTGAATGAACATGAGCAAGGCAAGCTCAGACATATAGGGAGGAGGGATGTGGAAGGGCAAAGAGATGAAGGCGCTACAGGGATGGGTGCGGACTATCGGCCCCCGATGGGGGCTCCCGTTCGAGCGGGGATCTCCATCCAACAACACTCACCCACGCCCCCCCCCCCCTCCATAATTCCAACATGAGAAATCCTGAGGTCGCATAAGCATGGGTGCGAGTTGTCAGCTCAGGATGTCAGGCGAGGGCGAAGTGTCGTAAGCTCGCGCGCGGCCCCGCTGTCGGCGAATAGGCGAGCGACACAATGCCCGCCCTCGCACAAGGAGAAATGAGCGCGGCGCTAAGGCGAGAGCGGCATTTCACAAGGAATGTGCGCCCTGTCCTACTCCTACAGTGGAAGGGAGGAGGAGGAGGAGGAGGAGGAGGAGGAGGAGGAGGAGGAGGAGGAGGAGGAGGAGGGGAGGGGAGGAGAGGAGAGGAGAGGAGAGGAGAGGAGAGGAGAGGAGAGGAGAGGAGAGGAGAGGAGGGGAGAGAAGAGAATATAATATATCATAAGACACGTTACTACAGTATTATAGTATATTCTAGAGTATATTCTAGTTCATAAAAGAAGCGAGAAGTTACTATAATATACGAAAAAAGAGACGGCCTTAACATACAAAACAACATATTATAACATGAGATAAGATAGCAGACTGCAAGCTAGCAAACTATTAATACCATAACATGTATGATGGTACGGTAGGACGTAAGCGACGATATTACAATATAACACAGTATATACTTAGCCAGATGATAACATGTAAAATCCAAATGTAGAGTAATACAGCTAATATAACAAACTACGGTACGCGTTAAGACTATATAAGAGAAGCTTTTCGTTTTTAGTCTGCGAGAAGAGAAGATACGCACCTAGAATACCATATGTAATACCAACACACAGAATAGATACGGCAACGCAAGTTGAGATAATAGATCATACTATAGTCGCGGATATACTAGACTATACTATAAGAGAAAATACACGAGTTGATAGTGCACTATGATAACATAGAAGATATGATCATATCTCGTGATATTCACTTATATACTAAACAACACGATAATATGCTAGAATATGGTATGGCAAGAGCAGAGAAACTATGATGGTATAACATAAGAGGATACGACACAACGAGGTAATAAAAGCGAAGGGACGCGAATATATAGTAATCTAATCCAATAGCATATACGATCATATAAGAGAAGAGATGAGAGGCAAGAGGAGGAGGATTCAGAGGGATAAAATATTCAAACTTTCCACGACGCAGCCTCGCGAACTCAAGAAAAACGAACGACGAACCTGAGAACAGAGTTCCATACATAACGCATTAAAACTCCGAACCAGAAACAAACGCCGCACAAATCCAGTCGAAACCCTGACCGAATCCCAGAACACATCCGCCTGGAGCCGTAGAAACGCTCCGCATGCCCACGCCAGACGAATTTCTGGCATGCGGTCTTCCGATTTCCAGGTCACGTCAGAACTTGTCTGAGGTTGGGGCGGCCCACGAGTGCGCGAGTTGGCGCGCCAGTTAGCGGAATGATTACAACTGTTGACTGGCGACGACGGTGCGAAGAGCTGCGAGAGGAGGGCAGATGGTCGCAGTAGGTGAGGGTCTTCCTTTCATGCAGGGACGGAGAGGAAGGAGGAGGACAGGAGGCGCTGGGGGCGGGACGGGTGTGAAATGAAAGTTTCCTTCGTTTCGTGCAGGAACGGGGAGCACGGAGGGCCATAGAGAACAAGCGGGCAGGCCCTGGGGGACGGGGAAGGTAGGATTGTTCAGTGGGGCATCAAGCGGCCTCCAGCGCAGCGAGGCAGAAGAGTGCGAACCGGTACAGGTTGTCGGCGTACTCCACGCCCTGGGAGAAGGAAAGGAGCGCGCGTTCCTCCCGATCGTTCGGCCAGATCGTCGAAGTGACAAAAAACTCGATGACGTTCCTCTGGTCAGTCCTCCTACTACTGATCCTCTCCTTCCTCTACCGATGCCCCCCGTCCTTCAGATGTCTTTCGGCTTTGGCCAGTTGCTTGGCGGTCAGCTGCTCATCGAATCCGTCGCCCTACCCCAGCACTGCGTCAGGAAGGAATCGATGACAGGGGCTACCAGGGGCGAGTTCAGGGGCGCAGTAATTGGCGCAAACTATTGCCAATGTGGCTGGCCAGACCCGGTAGGGGCTGGTGAGGCCAGCCGCAGGGGCAGCAAGGACTAGTGACACGAACGAGCACTAGGACCGAAAGATGACAGCACGGCCCGTCAGAGGGCTGGCCAGGGCTACGAGGGCTGGAAATGGGCATGGGCGCCACACATGTCTTGCGTAGCCAGTCACACGGCTAGCAAGGGCTGGCAAGGGCCAGTGACGGGAGCGGGCACAGCCACCAAAGAAGGTGGGGCCAGTGTGCTCTGGTGAGGAACGAGAGCTGGTGCCAAAGAGGGCTAGCTGAGCTCGTCAACTAGCCCAAGAAAACGCAACTCCCGAACACATCGGAAACTGACAGCAACAAATAAGTCTGAGTTTCTGCAAATACCGCTATAACAAACAACACGCCTGGTCCAGATTCCAAATCAGCTCTTGCACTACAAGGGATCCGAATGGATGTTGAATCATCTGGCGGCAATGCAAGGACAATTCGGTGTGCCGCTAACCCCCAGATTCCTGGACATCCAGAACTCAATGACGCGGTGGCAGTCCCTGGCCAAACAACCCACCCTCAAGACGCCCAGGTCTTGAGCGAGAAACCAAACAACCCAACATCGAGGCACGCACGTGCCTTGATGTTGTCACTCGTTCGCCTTGGGCGAACATCCGAACTACCCAACATGAAGGTACGCGCGTGCTTCGGTTTCGTCGTTGGCTTTGAACGAACACCAAAGAACACGTTATGCGCGTAACGTGACTTGGCGTACTATTGGTTTGGGGTGAAAAAACGAAACAATCCAAAAATAAAGGCGCATGCATGCAATGCTATTACGTTTTGTTGGTAATGGGACAACAACTGGGCAACTTGAACTAGCGCGTGCAATGATACTGTCTCTTCCCGCTCTTGGACGAGCACACCGAAGCAACCCATAATCAAATCAGACACGTGCCTCCAGCCGGTAGTGAGTTGTTATGTAGCGAAACGCCAAACAAAAGAACACGCCGATGGCTTGATTGTGGTGATGCCTGACTGGAGCCCACAGCCGAGCAACTCAAAATCAAGGCAATCATGTGCTTTGTTGTCGCCTTCTGCTGGCATGGCACGAAAACCAAACACACCCTAAATCAAAGAACGCGCGTGCCTTGGTAGTGCCTGCGTTTCGTTAATCCAAAGCAAAGGCGAACAGCGAACAATCCTCATAACGGGGCGTGAGGGTGACAAAGGGGTCCCTTTCCCCCCCCCCAGAGTCGCAGAGGCGGCGGTCGACACTGAGCAGAATTCCCAAACGATCGGAGGGCTGGCACCAAACCAGTGGAACCAACGAGCTGGGGCCAACTGCACACGAAACCAAACCAAACCGATCCTCTGCCCTCTCTCTCTCTCTCTAGTTTAATCTCTCTCTCTCTCACTCTCTCCAAACTCTGATGACAATTCCAGAGGTGACATTCCCCCGCGCTGCCAGGCAGGACGGGCCAGGGCAAGGTAGCCTCCTGGGCGTTGTAGTACAAGCCACCAGGCCTGCTGAAGGGGATAATATCATGTGCAACGCGCGGCCGAGACGCGCAGAATGACCAAAACCGGAGCAGCAATGCGGCAGCAGACGATGTGATTGATGAACTGAATCGAGCTCGCCCCGAACTCATCCTACACTCGACACATACACACAAAAGGTTATCAACATGTCTGCCAACGAGGACCCCCAAACAGTATGCTATTGCACTGTGTGATGCAAGCTGAGGAGTAAACTGTGCGACACCTCCTATATGGTGCAAAGCGTGCGGTGCAGCCTAAGTGGTTCAAGTTGTCTGGTGCAAGCTGTTCGGCACAGTCTACGCCGTGCAGTATGTTGTTTGCACTTTGTGTCGCAAAATATGCTGTGCAACATCTGTGGAGCAGACCGCGAGGAGCAAACCAACCGGTGCTGACTATGTGGTGCCTTTGAGTTTGACCGCAGCCAGCGTGATCTTGAAATACTAAGGCAACCAGAAAAGCTTGTGAAGAATTTCGACGTGCTCGCGCGGAGATGCGCGAGTGGCCCGCGTGGCATTCTTTGTGAGAGTTGGCGGGCGCGTGGTGAGTGTCTGATATGCTCGGCATGCGCGATTGGCCCGCATGCACCTCATTTTTCAGGACGGCAAAGAACTTATGGCGTTCGTGCGTGTTGAGCAAATGCAATGCGCGCGCATAATCAAAATGAGTTGATTTGGTCGGAAGCTATATCTGAACGGGTAGCACACGATGTTTTGTAATGAATTTCGCATTTGCGCGCCGCGGCGCGCTCGTGTACACCGCCTGGTACAAATGTTGGCCCAAAACGAAGACGCACACACGGTTCGAATCAACACATGCGCACCGCATGATATTATTCGACAGGAGCGAGGGCAATGCGGATACCGAGTCTGGCTGGTATGCTATTGATTATTTTCACTGGAGCAACGCGCGCGCATCGGGTCGCAGGTTCTAGCGCGGCACACTAGCAGCATGTGTTTCTTATCAGCGTCAGTTTCATGATGCTTCTGGTAATTGTTCGCGGAGGTCTTGGCAAGAGCTTTGGGGGACTTGTGGCAACGTGAGGAAAGGGGGGCGATGTGGTAACAATAGGAGGGTGAACAAGAAGAAGCCGATGAAGAAGAGGGAGAATATCGGGCACAAGTGACGGAATGACGAGACATAATAGTATACAGAGCACTTTGAGGTGGAGGAGGGGATCTTGTTTTTGTCATCGCACAAACAAGGTGCTTGACAGGAGGGGAGATGCATCGAGCCCAGGCTCTCTCATGCGTCTGCGCAAAATGCTCGAATAGAAAAGGGCAATGATGAACGACGAAAATGAAGGTGAGGAGGAAGATGATGATCATGCAGGGATGGGGATGGAGGTGAAGATGCCGCCGCCATCATCCCCTCCCACGCGCATGACGGATGCGGGGTAAGTGGGGGTACCCGACGCACTGTAGGTGGTCGCAGCCCACGGCGGCGGCCGGAGGGATCGGCGGACACGACGTAGCCCCATACACCGGAGCGCCTGTCCCACAGAAGCGGCCTGGCCGTACGGCCCCAGAAGCAGCCCCCAGCGGGAGGCCGCCGGCCACCCATGTCGAACAAGCCGGTGCAGCGAGGCGGCGTGGTGTGGGAGGTCGGGAGCGTGTCCGGTAGCGGCGGCCAGAGGAGTACCCCACTTAGACGGGCGCGTTCCACTACTCGCAAAGTGACTACTCGCAGATGGCCTGCATCCGCTAGGGGGGATCTGCGAGAAATCCTATAGAATCAAACATGTGTTTTTCGGGAGTTTGCGAGTAGGCACTCTGCGAGTAGTGGGAACGCGCTCGACAACCACTTGCGACACAACCAGTCGGGCCAGCGAGAGGCTACACGGCCGGTCGGCCAAGCAATAGAGAAACCCTCTCTGCTGCTGCCGCGGCCGCGGCGCGGGCGCTCTGGCCGCACAATCATCGCAGCGAAGGGCGAGGCCCGCTCGGGAGGCACTCGAGAGGGGCACCAGCTGCACCACCTCGCTGCGGTGCAGAGCGGCATGAATCAAGGATCGGGGATCAAGGGTTTCGGCCATGTTTGTTGACATTTTGAGAGTTCCTGAGGCCACTCGGGAGGCCTCTGGAAGTCTCTAGGGGCCTCCGCAAGCCCTGGAGACTCCAAGAGATCTCCTCCTCCTCCTCCTCCTCCTCCTCACCTCTTCCTCCTCCTCCTTCTCCTCCTCCTCCTTCACCCCTTTCCCTTATGAGTAGCTCATCCGTGACGCACCCCCAGACGAATCGGTAGGGCATGCCAGGCGTTTTGCATGAATCTTCCTCACCATGTATGACCTGAAGCTTGAAGTTGCAACAATGTAAAGCATGGAGGGTGCACCGTTTTTTAATGTGACTGCCACCTTGCACCGAGGCCATCCGTCGTATAAAAGTTTGCAGCATTTCTAGGATGGAGGGCGGATCGATTTCAAAATATGGCCCTCGCCTCAGCGCCGCGCACATTAATATGGTTCAGCAATTTCAAACATGGAGGGCGGGTAGTTTTCAAAATTGAGCTCACGGCATAGCGCCGCACTCATTCGCCTTACAAAATTTGCAGCAACTTCAAGGATGGAAGGCGGGTCGTTTTCAAAACGGATCTATCGCTTTAGCGCCGCGCAAGTTCGTCTTACAAGTTTGTCGCAATGTCAAAGATGAAGAGTTGTTTCTTTCAAAATTATGATCTCGCCCTAGCGCCGTGCACATTCGTTATATTTGTTGCAGCTGTTTAAGGGTTCGTCGGGTTGAATTCCCAGCAATAGCGTTCTGGCACGATTCAGGATTGTCAGGCGCACTATTCACGTTAAATCGCGGTGTCGAAATCTCAGGAATGGCATTCTGGAATGATTTAAGATTGCCAGACGAACACCAACTTTCATTGGCGGCGCTGAAGTCTCAGGAACGGCGTCCTAGCACGACTGGCACGGTTGAGGATTCTCGAACGGTTGTCTTTCAATGGAGCACCTACTGCAATGAAAACTAATTATTGAAGGGACCTGTGATGATGGAACCTGGAGGGAGGGTTCATTGCAACAAACATCGTCAATGCGTCTGGGTTTACGCGGGCCCCCCTCCTCATCCGCAGTCTCCTAGCCACCGCCAGAGGCAGTTACCTTACTGGCAAGCAACACGCTGTGTCAGTCATTGCATTCAGTACATGTTTGAAGGCATCGGCCCTCGATTCTCGATGAGCAGAGACGGCGAGCCAATTCAAGCAACAACAGATCGCTCGACAAACTGCCAGGAACACCCGCATGGCAGGGCTAGGCCCATGTTTCTGAGAGGCGAGGGGCGTTAGCGCCGCCTGCTTCTCTGCAGACTGCACGATCAACGACCACGCCGACGACTACAACGACAACGTGGCAGTAGAGGCAATACAAACTCACTAAGCGAAAAGACATTGGCGCCGAAGCGCGGTGGCTGTCCTCATGCGTCGCTGCGGCATCAGGCGGGCAGCCCAGGAGAAGGGCCACCAGAAATGCAAACACACGATTTCAGAGCTAAGCCTTCCTGTTGGAGGCAACGACTGAGTCAACTACACGTGGGGTCATAAATCCGTGTGGTGACAGACGGTGCGGTGACCTCGGAACCCCCAACGACCTCACCACACGGTCCGTCACCGCACGGTCTTGGGACCTCGAAGGCGCCAGTCGCTCGAGGCGTCCTGGGAGAACAACCCGAGTCCCAAAACCAACCGTGCGGTGACCCCAAATCTCCACTGGCACACCTCACGATGTGGCCAGCGTACCTTTTGGGCCTCCCCGATATACATCTGAGCACTCGTGCCACACCACCAGCAAGGTCCCTCATTACGGATCCAGGGGAAAGCTCTCGCGACAGCTGTTCGGTATGGCTTCACCATTGACGCGTCGCTCGGTGTCCCCACTCTGGCTGGCAGGCGAAAGAGCAAATGATTCCCCAAGGCCCCGCCTCCGCGCCACCCGCCAAGACGAGGCAGCCTCCACACACGCCCGTGATTCGAGGCCCACGCGGTTCAGCAGATCGGGCCGTCCCTCCCTTCGCAGACGGGGAAGAGCACCCGCGACGGTTGCTCAGTGGCCTCGGGAGGCCCCGCGCTGCCTGGGGCACAGCACCGCTGTGGAGCGTCGACGCGTCGGGACTGATGAGTCGGCGGCGAGCCTGCGAGCGCGGCCGAGGCACCGGTGAAGGCGTCAGGCAATCTGCACCGTGGACTGGCCCGACGAGGAGGCGGGCAGGGACGAAGCGGAACCCGACGGTGGGCGTGCGCGGATCGGCACCGAGCCCAGGGGGGGAGGGTCGAGGGGGCGGACCGTCCCAGAGGGCTCAGGAGACCTCCGGCGACTTCTGGGGAGAGTTCGAGGCCCTCTCCGCAGGCACAGGCGGCTTCTCAAAGACAGGAGGGCTGCTGAGAAGCCCGGCCGCCTTCTGAGCAGGCCTGCCACCTCTCAAAACCACCCTCAGGCTCGCCGCCGAGTGGATTACAGCAGGTGATGCTATCAGGATCCACCTGGCCGGGCACGTCGCAATGCTGCACGAATGCGTCTAGGCAGAGCGCAGGACGGAAGGCTTCCTCTCTCTCTCTCTCTCTCCCTATCTGCATCCGCATCACCCCCTCCTTCTCCTCCTTTCACCTTCTCGCTCTGCCTCCTCCTCCTCCTCCTCCTCCTCCTCCTCCTCCTCGTCCTCCTCCTCCTCCTCCTCCTCCTCCTACTCCGGTTCCTCATCCCTGGAGGGGACGGTACAGAAGGGATGTAGCGGTGCGAGGGGGGTAGGAAAGAGGCACGGACGAAGGGGATGGGAGCGCTCCGCTCGACAGGCTCCTCGGTCCCGAGCCTGATTCGACCCCTAACCCTTCACAGCAGAGTCGGCCTGTGGTAGCTCGGGTGGTCCACGAAGACATAGTCCACACCCTTGCCCTCACTGACCTTGGCGACGTTAAGAACGACGATACTGAATCTTAAAGCACCATTGCCAGGAAGAGGGGGGACACAACTCTGCGAGTGTACCCGTCACAACGATGATCGCAGCTGAGCAAAAATGATACGGCCGAGACTGCCGAGTAGACCAGCGCGCAATCGCGTCATGACAGTCCCTCTGTTTATGAGAGTTGGCAAGTTCGAGACGGCAGCAGTCCAAACGTGGCACAATAATGGCCCGTTCCTGACCCAATGCTAATTAGTGCGTCTGGGACTTCAGGACTGCCATTGCGATACAAACCTGGCGACATCGACAAACACTACACCGAATGGAGTGAACATTGCTGGTCCAATGATTTCGCGCGGAGAGAAAGGGCAACGACATACACGGACATCACAAACGCGAGATACGAAATCGCGCATAATGTCCAATCGCATCCTCAAGGAGCTGGCCAACTCACACTAAGCACAGACCCGCTTGACAGGCAGCACGGCAGAGGGACGGCGCCACGCAAACTGGGGCCAGGGAAAAAAACTACCCGAGGGCGCAGCAAGACCTCAAGGGGTCGAGGGGGGCCAGTCTCACGATTTCACTGCAGGCATCCCGCAACAGCAGTGGGGACCTCTACCCTCAGCCGACGACCGTACGGATAAATTGTTGCGCGGTGATATCCAGTGTACATGTGTATAGACATATATAAATATAGATGACATTCCCTGGTGGTTCAACGGTCCATTCTCGGAAAGATCCCCCACCGTGCGATCGGGCACGGAGTAGGCGTGACCTCAGGTCCTTTGCCTAATCCTGTAAGCCTCAGTCCTGCCCAAATGAGTTTCTGACGGGCCCGGGCCCAGAATCGCCAAATCTTGCGGGGCTCCAAGCGTGCCCCTTGGGCTCCAGCGCATCTTGTCGCATGACTTTTCGCGGCCCCAGAAGGCCACGAGAAGACGGGCCAAGAGGGCCCCAAGCGGCCTCCAAGACAGCGGCCCCGAGTCGCCGAACGAAGCGTTCGCTCCAAGACGCTCGAAATGGCCCCCAAGACGCCGATCAGGCCTCCAAGACGCCCCAAGGAGCTTCCAAGAGGCCTCCCAAGAGGTACCAATAATTGATGTTCCTTCGGTGTCTGAAGATGTTGGGTTTCTTACCTTTGCGGTTTCCCAGCGCTGCCAGAAAGCCCTAGAGGCCACCAAGATTGCCGACGACGGCCCAGAAGGGCCCCAAAAAGGCCCAAGGGGCGCCCAAAAGGCCCCAATTACGGCCCCAAGAGGGGGCCCATATGGGGGACCAGAGCGACATTTCAAGCCTTCGGCCCCGGCCCTCTCAGGGATGGAGATTCGGTCTTTCTACAACCCGAACGACACTTCACAACCGAGATAGGTCACTTCACAAGCAGCAAAAGTAAATGGGTTAACTGATTTTCGTTGAGAACGACTTCTCTACAACCAGAACAGCCCACGTTACAACCAGAACGGCCCACGTTACAACCCAGACGGACCTCTTTACAAGCAGAAGGGCCACCGTACAACCAGCCGTCAAAAGCGCGCGCGCGCTGCAGAGGCTTCTGAAGCTTCCGGGCGCCTGAGGGTTCTGCAGAGGCTGCCGAGCGCCTGAGCGTCCTGCACAAGCTTCTGAACGCCTGAGCGCCCTGCGGAGGCTTCTGAGCGCCTGAGTACCCTGCAGAAGCCTCTGGGGCTTCTGGGGGCCTGGACGTTTCGCAGAGGCGCCTGAGCGCCTGAGTGCTTTGCAGAGGCATCTGAGCGCCTGAGCGCTCTGCAGAGGTTTCTGAGCGCTGGGGCGCTCTGCAGGGGCACCCGAGCGCCTTCGCTTTCTGAAGCTTCTGAACGCCTGAGCGCTCCGCAGGGGCATCCGGGGCGCCTGAGCGTTCTGCAGAAGCTTCTGAGCGCCTGAGCGCTCTGCAGAGGCATCTCAAGCTCCTCAGCGCCTGGGCGCCCAACAGGGGCTTCTGAGGCCCCTGAGCGCCTGAGAGCTCTGCAGAGGCTTCTAAGGCCTCTGCGACTTCCGGGCGCTCTGCTGAGTCTTCTGAGGCCCCTGAGGCTTCCGACCGCTCGGGAAACATTTCTGAAGCTTCTGAGCGCCTGGACGCTCTGCAAAGGCTTCTGGGGCTGCTCAGCGCAGTCTCTGCAGAGGCTCCTGAGGCTCGTGAGGGCCTGAGCGCTTCGCAAAGACATCTGAGCGCCGGAGAGCTCTGCTGTGGCTTCTGAGCGCCCGAGCGCTCTGCGGAGGCATCTGAGCGCCTGAGCTTTCTGCAGAAGCTTCTGAGCGCCTAAGTACTCTACAGAGGCAGCTGAAGCTCATGAGCGCCTGGGCACCCTGCAGAGGCTTCTGAGGCCCCTGAGCGCCTGGGCGCTCTGCAGAAGCTTCCCCTGCGGTTTCCGAGCGTTCTGCAGAGACTTATGGGGCCCCTGAAGCTTCTGAGCGGTCGGGAAAGGCTTCTGAGGCTTTCTGAAGCTTCTGAACGGTCTGCAGAAGCTTTTGGGGCTACTCAGCGCAATGCCTGAGCGCTCTGCAAAGGCTCGGGGTTCTGCAGCTTCTGGGCGCCTGAGCGCCATGCAACAATTTCTGAGAACCTGGGCGCTCTGCAAAGGCTTCTGAGGCTTCTGAGCGCCTAATCGCCCTGCAGAAGCCTCCAGGCGCGTGAACGCTCTGCAAAGGCCCCTGGGGCTTCTGAGCGCCAGAGGGCTGTGCTGAGGCTTCTGAACGGTTCTGCGCGATTCCCAATGGCCTCTGAGTGCATCCCGGTGGCTCTGAATGCTGACTCGTGGCCTGTGAGGGCTTACCAGTGGCCCATGGAAACTACCAACGCTTTCTTGGCAACATGTCCGCCTTCCTGGGTATGCATGCTTCCGCGAGTGCGAAAGCATACGGCTCTGCGATTGCCAGGCGATGACGCACGAGGACAAACGTTATCTGTGAAGCCACAACAACAAATTGAAAACCACACATGTTGGCTAGAATGTTACCATCGCCTTCTTGGCCACAATTCCGCCCTCCTGGGTACGCATGCTTCCGCACCTGCATCAATTGCGGTGTTGCTACTGCAGGACGATACAAAGCGAAGAAAAACATTGTCTATGATGCAAAACCCCACAACTTGACAACCACACGTGTTGGCTAGAACACTACCATCGATTTCGTGGCCACAATTCCGCCCCCTGGGAACGCATGCTTCCACGAATGCGAAAACATACGGTTTTGCGGTTGCCCAACGACGAGGCGCGAGGACAACAAGTGTCTGTGAGGCCAATAAGCACACATTAAACCCACACGTATTATTTGCTAGAGCTGTACCACTGATTTCTTGGTCACATTTCCGCCCGCACCTGCCAACAAGCATACGGTTTTGTTGTTGCCAAACGATGAGGTGCGGGGACAAACATACTCTATGGTGCAAGAAACCTACACACTGAACTCCACATTTATTGGGTAACATGCTACCTATGAATTATTGGCCACAGTTCCGTTGTCCTGGGAACGCATGCTTCCGCACATGCAAACAACATACGGTTGTGTTATTGCCAGACGATGGGGCGCGAAGACAAACAAGTCACTGATGCATCAAAACAGATGTTTGAAATCCTCATGGATTGGCCAGAGTGTCACCAACGATTTCTTAGTCACATGTCCCCTCTCTTGGGAGCGCGCGTGTTCCTGATTTGATGTTGGTTGTGCGGCGAACGCTCAGTGTCCTTCGATTGTCAGAAGAAGCAAGATGTTCAGGCAAAGGTTATGAGGCTCAAAATAGCGATGTACATTTAGGGCGTAGAGGTAAACAAGGCCTCAACCGCCAAGGCCTGTCACCAGCGTGTAGCGGGATGATCGCTATTGGATCTCAATTGGATTCCAATAGCCCCTTTTGGATACCACAAGGAGAAAAATAGGGCGCCAATACGATTACAGTATGACTTTAAAAGGACAAGTTACTGTTGGGTTGCAGTTGGGTCCTGATGGGATCCCGATAGTATGCCTGTATGGATCGAACAGGAAGGATTCCGATTGGATTCCAGTGCGATACCCGTCGTATTCGCCAAGATGGTCCCGATAGGATTCCAAGAGAAACGGTCCCTGCTGCTTTCGAATCAGAACCCAAAAGGATTCCCACCGGGTTTCCATATGGTACCCCAATGCTTTTCCCGCAGCATTTCACTAGGAAGGCCCCTCGATTGAAATCCAATGACATTTCCATTCGGTGTCCATTAGGAAGGGCCCCAAAGCGTCTCAATGGGAAGCATACCTATCGGATTCCACTATGACGCCCGTAGGCCCCATAGCGAGGAATAGCTCTGGATTCCAATTGGATCCATGTGGTCCCAATAAGATCCCAGTGGGAAGGGTGCCACTAAGATTCCAATAGGGCTCCTGTTGGATCACATTCGGAATCCGCAACTTCACATATTCTTGCTTCAGACGAGTCTCTTTACAACCAACACGTGTGAGAGAGCGAAGTGTCGCCCTGACGTGGACCCATGGAGACTTCAGAAATTGAAGAACACGTGCCGCTTAGATGCGCTGAATTGCATGGTTGTAAAAATCGCCTTCCTGGTTGTAAAGGGCCCTTCTGAGAAAGCCCATGCTGTTTGTAAAGTGCCCCATATGGTTGTAAAGTGGCCGTTCTGGTTGCAATGCGACCCGCACGCGGCCCCCAGGAGGCCCCAAGAGGCCCCCAAGAGGCCCCTAAGAGGCTCCCGAGAAGACCCCAACCTACCGCTCCCAAGAGACATCTAGAAGCATCCCTGAGAACGCTGACCCGCAACCCAGGCACGGTGGCGAGCTGGGCCGAAGGCCACTAGCTGCCCCCTGTTGATCGATCACAAATGTGCCTGGCGTGCTAGATCCTGCGGCTTGGTTTTCGTTCTTTTCCGACAAAATCCTGCGACTTCGGTCCATGCTGACGGCCAACCGAAGGCCCCGCTGCTGCGCAGCCAACGTCTCCCAGACGAGCTCGATGGCCTCCAGGAGGGCCGAGATGGCTCAAGATGGCCTCCAAGTTCGCCCAAGATGCTCCAAGATAGCCTCCACGACGGCCCAAGAGGGTCCCAGATGCCTCGAAGTCCGCCCCAGAAGCCAACCAGATGACCCAAGATGGCTCAAACAGGCCCCCGAGAAGCCTCCAAGACAGCCCAAGTGGCCTCCGTAAGGTCCTCCAGGAGGTCCTCCAGGAGGGCCCGAAAAGGTCAAAATCATGTGTAAGTCGGTATGTTGTTGAAAGAGTCTGGCATGACCTTCCGTTCCGCCTCCCGACAGCCCAAGACAGCCCAAGAGGCCCCCAAGATCGCCCCAATGTGGCCCCAAAGGCCTCCAAGATGACCACGGCTCAGGAGGCCTCCACGACGGCCCCGAGAGGCCTCCAAGTTTGCCCAGGATGGTCCAAGATGGCCTCCAAGACGGCCAAAGAGGATCCAAGATGGCCTCCAAGAAGGTCCAAGATGCCTCCAAGACGGCCCAAGAGGCCCCCAAGAGGCCCCCAAGAGGCCTCCAAGGCTGCCCAAGAGGCATCCAAGAGGTCCGCCAGGAAGGCCCGAAGAGGCCAAAATCAGTGTTTTCCATAGGTGGTTGAAGAATTGTCGCATTTGTTTCAAAACGACTTTCATACGGCCTGAGACGGCCCAAAGGGCCCTCAAGATTGCCCCAAGATCGGCCAAGAGGCCTCCAAGATTGCCCAGGACGGCCCAAGAAGGTCCCAAGACGGCCCCCGAAAGGCCGCAAGACGGCCCAAGAAGCCTACAAGGCGCCCAAGATGGTCCCCAAAACGGCCCGTAAGCGCCTCAAGAGGGCCCCAAGGCGGCCCAGAGAAGCCCCCAAGGCGGCTTCTGACGGCGTCCGATGGGCCAGGAATGCCGCAAGACAGCCACAGAGGCCCCCAGCAAGCCATCAAATGCCCTAAAGCGGCCCGAGAAAGCCCCCCAAGAGGTCTCCAAGAGGCCCCCAGAAAGCTCCCACGAGGCCCCACGAATGACGCAAGAGGCTCCCAAGAGATATCCGTATCCTCCTCCTCCTCCTCCTCCTCCTCCTCCTCCTCCCCCTCCTCCTCCTTCGATCCCAAACATTAGAGGTCACCGAGGAGCCTGCTTTGCAACGCTCACTGACCGCAGGCAAGACTGCATGGACATGGGGGGCTGCACCCATGCGGCTAGTGTAGGCGGTGGACGGAGGAGGAGGCATTTTGGGGCACGGGCACTTCAACTGCGTGATCTACGCAACGTTTCGCCGTGAGTGGTCATCCAGATGTGTGCTGCAGAAGACCAGGCGAGTGAAGTCCAGTGATGACGAGCTGGCGGAGAAAATCGCTCGGTGTCTATTTCCGCCACCGCTAATCTTTACATCGGGTGATTGTGGGCAGGAAGTGTGTTGGATACATCGACCGGCGACAACGCGCCTTCTCAGGTTTAGTGTGTTCGGGGCTGCGTTCTGGCCTGGCCTCCCTGGGGTCACCAGGGCGGGCTGGGCGCTGGTCCAGGTCCACGAATTCGGGAACCTGTTGGCGGCCGCTGATGTCCCTGTGCCGTTTCGGCATGGGCCGCGCCAGCCGACCAAAGACTGGCAAGACTATGCGATCGTAATGCTCACCCAGTGCGCGATGGCCCCGATAGATGTGTACTCGGATTGCCTCGGGGCGCTCAATGGCCTTTGGGGTGGTCCTGGTGCGGGGTCGTCTGCGGGAGGGCCCCGAGCTCATCTGTGGCCCCTTTCGGGAGTAGCGTTTCGATGCTGGTGACGTCACTGGCTACAAGATAAGAGCGCAATGCAGCGCAGCAGACGTCCACAATGGTACGACTACCATGCATGAGAAGAAAGCCGACGACTTGGCCGATCAATATACCAACTGTGGTGCGCTTAGGCATTCGGTCCGTGAGTCACATGTTGAAGTGTACAGACGCTTCAGAGGTCTTGCGAGAGAGAGTGTTAGGTGGGCGGCACGGCTCGAAGTAGACTTGCGGAGTGCAGACAAAAGCAGGCAGGACACTGCAGGACTCGGCCCTGCTGAGATTCAGCTAGCTCCTGGGGCCCTCGAGAGGCCGCCTGTGCCCGAGCCAGAGGATGAGGGACGGGTGGTGGGACGAACGGGGGGGCGGGAACAGACGAATGGGTCGACTCGACCACTAATGCCTTCTGCCTTTGTAAGCACGCCTTGATGAGATGTGAAGTCAACTCCCCGCTGCGTGCTGGTGAGGTTACTGCATGTTGCGTTCGGAAAGGAAACTGCCAGGATTGTGAGCCAGGGGAGTCGTTGAACGCCGATTGCAGAGGGCGGCCCAGGACTTCCCAGATTGCGTCCTGTGTGGAGCGCATTCGTGACGGCAAGCACCCCCTCCATCGGCCGACCACTGAGAATCTGTTGCTGCCAGGGTCTCGCGGCCTCAGCCAGGCAGAGCGGGGCCCGTTGTCGGTGCGTGCCCGCCCGCCCCCGCCCCAGGATGTGCCGACGGGAGCGGGGCGCCCGCCAGGACGCCTCGAGGACTCAGGTGCTCGAGTCCTTCGGCCTCGTCGAGGATGATATTCTTCGTGCTCAAGCCATCGGCGAGGCCGCGAGGCGGCCCCCCGAGGATGCGGAGGAAGAGGATCCTTCCGACTCCGAAAGGGATATCGCTCGGTTTTCCCAACCGGCTGAGTGCGCTTCGCAACAGGCTCCTCCTCCTCCTCCTCCTCCTCCTTTTCCTCCCTCTCCTCAGCCCCCTCTGCCTCGCCCACTTGTTCCCCGACAATTTTCCACAACGGCTCGGGAAACACCTGGTCCGATAGTTTGTCCCAGCTCTGGACCCAAACGTTCGGCCACAGACGAGCTTCTCACAAAGGCAAGGGGCGGCGGTGATTCGCCGTAGGCGTCTTCGATATCAAGAGCACTTCAACTGTAGCGGGCTACTCATACGTGACCCAACGCTAGCTCTATGCAATGCCCTTCCCGCCCATGTCCGCTTCCGAACCAAACTGGAACAATGGCATGAATTCCAGCCTTTGCCCGTCCCGGGTGAGAAAGCGGAGCGCACAGGGACAGCTGCGCCGATACCCCTGAGGACCTGCCACCAGCCCCCTGTCCCTGACCGCCTTCGCCCCTCTTCACACTTTTCCTCACGTACCCACCTCTTTCTCTCGCGTACGAGGGCGTTGTCATGTTTCGCGATAGCGGCCGCTACCGGACCGACAGCCCCCTCGGCCCCACCGGTCATGCCACGATTCGTGTTGAGCTCCGAATGGACTTTGGTTATTCCTGAACATTTCCAGACGGCACCAGCGCGAAACGTGACGTTACCGCCCCCCCGCGCCCAGTCCCCCGCCCCAGATCGCCCGGGAACAAGAAAACTATCTCTACTCATTGCCTCATGACCGTACCCCCTGGTGTTATCCAGATATCTCTCGTATGCTGCGAGAGGCCAGGGAAGCGTGCCTGGTGCCACAAATGGAAGAACTTCACCTGGCCCAGGTGCAAGCGCAGCCAATGAAGAAATACAAACACCCGCATGGATTCGGGGGGCACCGCCGATGATTCAAAACCAGTGCACCATGGATGGAGTTCACCTGGGCATGACGCGTAAGTGAACTGAGCTTTGTGACGGGCGGGCGGAAAATGAACGTACATGGTCTTGCTGCCTGTGAAAACGCCCCAGCGCAACGAGTAAGAAATTACATCGTGCAAAAACACATGTGGCGAGTCCTGCTGTGGCCGACACACGACACCACTCACTGCATAAGCACGAGTATAAATAAGCCACCATCATGAGGAAATTGCAAAAACGTACGAACGCACGACAAGTTAGAACGGGTTTCTGGCATGTTCCTGGAGGTGGGCGAGGAATTGAGGACGAGGAGCCGGGAGAGAAGGAATGGGAAACTTCGCATCATGAGGAGGTTGAGGGAGGGAGTTAGGAAGGAACAAGGGGGATGGGAGGGCGAGGAAGAGAGGATGGTCTAGGACAAAGGTGCTGAGAGCGGTGGGATCGATGAGGAGAGTGATGGCGAGAGCACAGGCTGGAGGGAAGGAGGAGGAGGACCCGGAGCTGAAGAGCAACCATATCGAGGGTAAACTTCGGAATGTGGTGGCGCAAACTGCACTGGTGTTGTGAGTCGCTATACACCAAGTCTACGCAACATAACAGTCGACGAATTGCCGTTCAAACTGGAAGACGTATAAGGAATTGAACCCACTGCTCAGATGAGACACAAACACCACACCTGCATCTACTGATACTAGCGAGTTTCCAAGTCCCTCTGGGGCCTCTTGAACCACAGCACTACTCCACAGTGGTGACGTATTGAAAATATGTCCAGGGCATTAGAAACGCTAATACTTCTGAACGACAATGGCAGCGATGACGACGTCGACGACTGCAAGGACGATACAGACGACGAGGCCTCCCTGATATCCTATTGCAATTACTACGCCTCCACGTAATCGTTCACATACTCATGTTCGTCCGCATCCCTTTGTTTGCCCTCATCATATCCGGCACTATTCAACTCCACCCTGGCACTGCCATTTTGCCTTAACCCTTCCCGAACTCATGTTGTTAATCCAACGCGTCCGCCTGCAACTGCTGCCCGCGTCTCCTCCTTTCCTCATCTCTTAGCAGTATGCACTCCCACTCTGCCACCGAACTGGCCGATTGCATCCCCATCTGAACCATCCCATCCTACAATGTAATAAACGATATTGTGTTTTCAACATGGACGCTCTGGCGTCCACGTCGCACTATTGCGTGGCAGGTTAAACATCCCATGCGCGAGGGCGAAGTGTTGGTCGCGCCTCGGCGCCGCGCAATGTTGGCCTGAAAGTGGCGTTCCCCTCGGTGTGGCGTATGTTGGTCACTCGCCAAAATTTGGAGGCCTGCGCGAGCGGGCGACGTGGCGTCATCGCCCAAGCTTGGCGCACGTTACGTTTGAAAGTGTGCATGTTCCACTCGCCAATCGCATGGAACAGGCAGCGGGAGCGGGGCCGCGCGAGAGCGCGATCCTCACCGAAGAGCAACGCAGTTTGTGTGAAAACGGCAGCGTTATTCCAGTACGACGCATGGTTCGTCTTTGCCGCGTTCATTGTGTTGTCGTTCCCGCCCCTTGCGCGGCCCGCGTAGCACTCCCTTCGCAAAGTCGTTAGAAGCGGTGCCGCGCGCGAGCGCCGCCCTCTCACAAGGTGATGTCGCGTTTCAATACCAATGCCAAGTTTTGCCGCAAGTGGTTATTATGTTAGTGGAGCGGGGTGGGAATGGGCAGGGCCCGCTGACTCGTTCAACCTGGCGAACTTCACTGACCTGCTATGTTTCGTCCCACTCCTCCACATCATCATACGCATCGGAAGACTCCTCATCATGTTTACCTCACACTCCATCCCCGCACCCCCTCCTCCACATAGTTCGAGTCCTCATCGTCATCGTCATCGTCATCGCTATTGTCATGGTCATCCTCCTCGCCAGTCGCATCACAATCATCATCATCATCATCACCATAACCGTTAGCACCCTCATCATCCTAATCGTCGTCATCATCGTAAACAACGACATAATCAACAGCATCAACTTCATTACACCAGCATCATTATCATGCTCATCGTCGTCGCCATCGCTATCGGCATCGTCGCCAGCACCCGCAATGTGGACGACAGGCCCGGCCACCCGACTCCGAGGAAGAGGTGTTTCTTCATTGACGCTGCTGGGTGCGCGCCGGAGGGCGGGCCGGCGCTCGAGCGCCCCGCACCTCGCTCCACTCTCTGCTGGAGTGGGCGAGTGGGGAAATGCAACAACTAGCAGAGGGAGCGAAGAGTGCTAGAGACAGAATGGTCACGAAGCACTCTCTCACCGACCTCCACCACTGCCTTCACGCTATGACCTGCGCAACCTGTGGATATTCCGTCCTGCATGGACGACAGACCCCCCGGCCACCCGACACCGAGCAAAAATAGTTTCTTCATCGAAGCTGCTGGGTGCACGCTGCGAAGGGGAGCGGGCTGGCGCTCAAGCTCAAGCGCCCCGCACCTCGCATTGGCCCGTTACCTTTCCGACTCCTACTCAGACGTCGCGCGGATGCACTTCCTGCATGGGGCAGCGCGGGGGGGGGTGCTCATTCAGCAGAGTGTGGCTTGCAAGGCCGAACCGCCAGCCACACGCAGCACGCCACTCGAAAAAACGGCGTCGGGCCGAGCAGGCGGGCAGTCACCACATGAACGATGTGTGAAAAGGATGTGACAACCGGTGGTGACACACTGTGCCAAGCGAAGACGGGCGCGGTGACACTCAGAGCACGAAGAGCTCGTTCGCCACTGAGGGCCCCGGCGAGATCGAACTTCAGCTTGCCCAGCTCGATGCCGACGTCGCGCAGCGCGGTCTGCTGGGTTGCCAAAATCTGGCCCATGGACTTCGAGCGCACGCTGGACCAGCACAGGCCGAGATGGACTCCGACGGCGCTTGTCTGACGTAGCGCGCGATCACGTCCGACGACCAACGAGCATTCAATTTAATGACCGCCAATGTCATGCCCAGGCCCGCAAGCCACCGGGCCCCTGTGACACGGAGAATGCCCGCCGAACCTCTGCGTGCCGGAGCTGGGCGCCAGCGGCAGCCCCAAGCGTGACGCGACGGCCTCGAAGGACGCAACCATGGCCTCCTTCGCGACGACGGAGCCCACGGCGCCCGGGAAGAGCGGCAAATCGGGGAAGAGCCCGGGAAGGAAAGCCGTGTTCAGAAGCTCCACGTGCGCGGGCGATGCGCGAGATGGGCGCGGCTCCACCTGCCGCCCGTCCGACGCGCAGCCCCACGCCCGAGCGAGGCCAACGGCCTTCGGGTCGGCCCCGGGGCACAACAACGTCCAGGCGACCGCGCGGGGCGCCCCGTCGACCGACACGCGCGCCCTCATTGAGGCAGCTACCTGCTCGATCTCACGACAGCGACGACGACGATGGGCCTGCCCGCGTCGACAGGCCCCCCAGCCGAGGTCCAAGGCGGCGACCTAGTCCAAGAGCGACGGCTCGGACTGCCTCGACGGCCCGACGCCGCGCTGCGCGCTCGCCGACGCCTTGCGCCGGTAGCCTCGGGACTTGGACAGCGCGGCCACTGCGTAGATCTTGACCGGCGCGAGGGGGGCGGCGCCCTCCTCCAGGCCGCCGAACCACGCGCGGTGGAGGCGCAACCAGGTCCGCGCGCGGAGCGCACGAGTGTCGACACGCGGCCTCTCCATGGCTGACTCCCTGACCGCGGGCGAAGATGCGGCTGCCAGCGCGGCGTCGATGTCCCCGCGACGCGCGAAAGCCACGGCTGGCACGTCGCGCCGCGACGGCGTCGCGCCAGCCGGGGAAACTGCGGGGGAGAGCGCGAGCCCCGGGCCCCCACCAGCAGAGGGATACTCTGCTTGCGGCGCCCTTCGCGGCGGCGGCTGGCCTGGGACCCCCTCCGGAGCAGACGGGAACGCAACGCTGCACCGCCGGCGGTGGGCCGACGCGAGCCGGGCAGCAGGGGGGCCACGATTGACTGCTGTCTCACCAGCGGGGGGCCGACGCGAGCCGGGCAGCAGGGATGCCAGGAAAGATAGCTGCACCAGAGATGGTGGACCGACGCGAACGGGGCAGCAGGGGGGGCATTTTCCGCGGCGGACAATGAGCAACTGCAACGAACGAGAACAATGAACGCGCGCGACCTGATAAGCTCCGGCCCTGCACCAATCCGCCCGGCCCAACACTGCCGCGCGCAAGGAGTCAGCGGCCGGCGCGGACAGCCACCGCGCGGCGCCCCGCACGGGAGGCACAACCTAAAGGGCGCGAGACACGACGGGGGGCGCGGAAAATGTCGCCCGGGCGCCGCGCGCCGCGACGCATCATCCGCGACGCTGCCGGCTACGCCGGGCGCGTGGCTCACGCAGTCCGGGCGGAACGCGGGGTCGCCGAGGTCGAGCGCGAGCTCCCTGGCGACGCGGTTCAAGGCGAAGCTGCCGCTCTTTAGCTGGAGGACCAGCGTCGAGGCGGCCACGTCGTCGCTCATCACCTCTAGCGCGGCCCATTCGGCGGCCCAGTGCTCCTTCCACGGGCACAGGGCCGCGAGAAGATTCATCGCCTCGGCCGCCAACTGCGCCTCGGCGTCGCCAATCGAGATGTTCAGGGACGTCTCGCAGCGGTGGAAGAGGGGGCGCCGCGTCACGCGACGATGGCGCCGTCGATCATCAAGTCCGCGCCGAGCCCCCAGACGCAAGCGCCGCCTACGATACATTCTCGAAAGCGCTGGCCCGGAAGGTCAGCGACGGCGCGCCGGCCTTGCGCTTCAAGGCTCAGATCCAAAGCAGCACGGGGGCGATCTGCTCGACCCAGACGCAGTTGCGCGCCGCCACAGATCGAGGGGGCGTCGCCCTTGCATATGGGAGCCGATCACTCCAAAGCTCTGCCAAGACAGGCCGCCAAATGCACGCCAGGCTGGCGAAGTGGCACGCTGGGCCTGCCAGCCCCCGAGCCCGCCCGATGGGGGACACGTTCGACCTCGACGCGTGGTGCACAACGCCTTCAGCTCGGTCAGCGCGGACTCTGGGACGCCTGCGGTCACTTTCAGCGGGCTGATCTCGAAACGAGTCTCTATGCAGACTGCAGCCTCGCTTAGCCTTCACGATAGCAGCGGGAAATCCCAGGAGCCCCCAGATGAGGACGACGACGGCAGCCCACCTGTCCCGCTCCCGCCAGTTGCCGCGGATAGCGAAACACGGGTCGCCCGCGCGCAGCTCGCCGCGGGCGCGCGGGCGCGCCGGCGCCACTGCCCCGCGCGGCGCGCCCAGGGCGCAGCGGAGGAGGACGTGGGGTGGCCCCGCCCAACTCTACGGCCCGTGGCGCGACCTCTGGGCTGGCCGGTTGAAGACCTAGTAGGCGTTCGCGCCGAAGCCGATGATGAAATGCTGGCGATCCGCGGGGCGCAGCGGGACGCGCCCGAACGCGCCCGCGAAGTCCTGCGCGAAAAGGTCCGCCCCCTCGCCGCTCTCGAGGTCGGTCATGAGCGCGAGGCAATCTTCCGCAGCATCTGTGACCCTCGGCAGGATGACGCGATGAGTCTTGCGCGTGCGAGCCGAAATCCCAGATTTCATCGGGCCCAAGATTATCCAATGTTCGGCGCCCGTCTGGGACCTCGGCGAGCACGTGGAACTTGGAAATCGTAGCGCCCTCGCCCACGGCTGCCGTGAGATCGCCGAGGGTGGTGCATTTTGCGAGACACCTTGTCATCTTCGAGGAAGCGGCCGCTGCCGTCGCCCCCGCCGGGTTTCTCGCGGGCCCGTTCGTCCTGGAGTTCGTCGCAGACGCGGCCGCGCCCGCCGCCGCTGCTGCCAGGCGCGGCCAGGGGGGAAATAGCGCCGACATGGTTCGGGTCCACGGCCATGCCCGCGCCTGCGCCACCCCGCAGCCGCGTCGCGATCTGCGCCCCAGGGTTGCCGGCCGCCGCGGCCCAGCGGCGCGGCAACCTGGCGCGAGCGCGCGACGCTCATGGCCCGCGCGCGACTGGCCCCCAGTCGCTGCGACTCAGCACGCGCGCCAGCTTGGCGCGGGGCTCCACCAAGGCAGCGCCCAGCGAACTCTCCGACTGCGCAATCTCGGTCGCCGACCCGCCCGCGGCGATCAGGGCAAGAATGGCCTGCTCGACGAGCGGGGCGGCATCGAGGGCGGCTGAGAACAGGCGGACAAGTACAGAGGCCAGGCGCAGGTGCCGCGGCAGCCACGTCGACACTATCGCAGCGCATCGGGGGCCGCGCAGAGCGGCCGCAGCCCGCGCTTGCCGCTGCCTCTTGGCGCCCAGCAAAGCCCCCGAAGCTGAACCGTGCATTCGATGCGCCGGGCAGCGAGCCTCCAGCCCCTGACGAGCCGTCGTCCGCGTCAGGGGCCGCAGAAACTCAACGACGCGGCGTCACCGCGTTGCCCCGAGCACCCGAAGTCAAGGGTGCCCAGAATGACCGCAGGGGCGGGCGCGGGCCCCGAACGCGACGTCGGTCGAACGCGCGCCGACGAGGCACGCGAGCTCTGCGACCTCCGGGAGCCTGAAGACGCTAGGACGGCCAGACACCGGGCCCGGCGCGCAGATGCCCCGAGGCCGCCGCTGCGAGCGCATGGCGAGCGCGATCGGCACGCAGCGGAGGGCGAGCAGGGTGCCGAGCCTGACGTCGCCCTTTCCTTGCCCGCCAAATGCTTAAAGCCGTGTTCGTCGGGCGGGCGCCCCTTTCGGAGGGCCGCCAGGTCGCGCCCATCACCGGCCGCGGCGAAAGTGGACGATGGCGGGGCCATGAGGGCAGCAGCGCATGCCCTGGAGCGGGCCTGGGCGAGCAGGCGTTCGAAGGCGGGGTCCTCGGCGAGGTCGAACTGCGCGCCGTTCGCCGCGTCGAACACGTCCACGGCGCCACCCACCAGCTCCCCGATCGCGGCGTCGATCCCGCCAGGGGCACCCGCTCGCCCAGAGAACGCCCACAATAAGGCCGAGGCGACGGGAGTCCGGAGGACGGGCGCGCCGCCCCAGGACGCTGCAGAAACCAACGCAAGCGGCGCCGCCGCCGAGCACGGCAGAGAGGCTTGGCTCTGAAGAGCGGCCGCTCGGAGAGACGGGTGTTCCCCCGAGTCCAGCGACGCTGGCGGTTGCCGCGAAAGGGGGCCCGGCGTCGCCATCGCATTCGGAGGGCCCGTTCTGCCGCCCGGCCGCGGCGAAGCCTGGGGTGCTCACCAGCGGCCGCCGCCGCCACGACGGCCCCGGCCCTGGCCGTTCCCTTCCCACGCCTGGCTCCCCAAGGCGTCGCCGCGGGCTCGCGCGGAGTGGCTGCGCGCGCCGTCGGCGCGAAGGCGCCGCGGGCCGGCGAGAGGCGCTTGCTGCACTGGTGGACCGCGCCAGGGTCGTGAGGGCACCAGAACCCCCCCGGCACGCTCTGGTATTTCCCAAATTGGAAGTCCCAGCACAAGCGCGCGTCGCTCCGATTGTGCGTGCACGCGCCGTCGGAGACCTTGTGGACTTTCACCTCCCTGGGGGCTGATTCCCCCGCGGGCTGGTCGCGACGGCGCTTGGGCTCAGCGCGGGCCGAAACATCGCCAGATGGCGCGTTTCCTGGTACCCCCCCTGGGACCTGAGCAGACATGCTGGCTCCTCGAACTGCTTGCGCCAAAACTCCGCGTCCGTCGTCACCGCCCGCACGACGCCATCCCAAGGGCGCGCCGGGTCGAAACCAATGGCCGGCGTCTTCCCCAGGGACTGGGCGTGAGCGAAGTTTCGCTCCAGTTTGCGCCGCGTGCGCTCCATGCGACTTCCCTGGCAGCGGACGTCCGCCTGGTAACGGAGAGGCCACGTGTCCGCGCCGCACCGCTTTTCGTAGCCCAATCTTCTGCGAATAGTCTACGAGAGCGCCCAACGACGCCGCCTCGAAGAGCAACCGGTAGCTCTCCGACCACGTGCCGATGCCAGGCGGCCCGTGGAGGGTGACCGGCTTCAGGACGCCGCCCTCGTGCATGGTGGACCCCTGAAGGCGCAGCTTGTGCAAAAGCTTGTGGTGGAACGGGCCCCACACCGCGAAGCTGACGTAGGGCACCACGTCCGCGGAGAAGGCTGCAGAGCCCTGTGAGTTGCTCCGTGGAGCACTCTTCCTCGGGCAGGGGGCCACGCCCTAGGACGCCCTGAAGGCCTTCAGGTGCGCCTTGATCTTCTCGTTGTCGAGCGGCTTCACGTTCGCGTAGGAGGCTGCAGAGCCCTGTGAGTTGCTCCGTGGGGCACTCTTCCTCGGGCAGGGGGCCACGCCCAAGGACGCCCCGGCAGGCCTTCAGGTGCGCCTTGATCTTCTCGTTGTCGAGCGGCTTCACGTTCGCGTAGGAGGCTGCAGAGCCCTGTGAGTTGCTCCGTGGAGCACTCTTCCTCGGGCAGGGGGCCACGCCCAAGGACGCCCCGGCAGGCCTTCAGGTGCGCCTTGATCTTCTCGTTGTCGAGCGGCTTCACGTTCGCTTCCGAAGTCGGGGACAAGGCCACGTTCCTCGCGCCAAGGCCGCCCGCCGAGGCCGCTGGCCGAGAGGCTGCCGCGGCAGCTGACGCCTCTGCGGTAGCCCTGGCTTGTTCGGCGACCCCGAGAGCATCGCTGAGGGCCCCAGCCTGCTCAGTGATGGGGCCAGGCAAACAGATCCTGGAGAGAAGGCACACCTTGCCGAGAAGCGCCAGATCTGGCCTAGCGCCTCCGACTCGGAGTCCTTCGAGTACAGTGTCGAAGGCAGCCGTGCTGACGTTGCTGAGGTCGCGCGGGTGGTCGCTTGTGTTGGAGCTGATCCTGCCGAACGGCGCGTCCCTAGCCTCACAAGGGATGTCGATCCAGTTCGCGACGGCGGCCAAGGAGTCCATCTCTACAAGCTGCTCGTTCGTCGGGGACGCCATCTGGCTCCCCTGACTGCCCAATGTGCGGAACGGAGCGCACAGACAACAACCGGCAGAGGGAGCGAAGAGTGCGAGAGCCAACATTGTCACGAGGCACTCTCTCACCCACCTCCACCACTGCCTTCACATTATGACCTGCATAATATATGGATGTTCCGTCCAGCACCAGCATCAACATCACCACCACCACCACCACCATCATCATCATCATCATCATCATCATCATCATCATCATCAGCATCATCATCAGCACCACTACCACCACCACCACCACTACCACCATCACCACCACCACTATGATCACCACCACCACCACCATCGTCATCATCAGCATCATCGCCATCCCACCACCATCACCATTATCATCATCATCATCATCAGCAGCATCACCATCATCATCATCGTCGTCATTACCATCATCTTCAACCCCATCAGCATAATCATCAGCATTACCATGATCATCGTCATCAACATCATCATCAGCAGCATCATCAGCATCAGTACCATCATCAGCATCAGCATCATCACAATAATCAGCATCAGCATCAGCATCAAAATCAGCATCAGCATCAGCAGCAGCATCATCATCATCAGCATCATCATCATCATCATCAACAGCATCAGCATCAGCATCATCATCAGCATCATCTTCAGCATCATCTCCCACTTCCCCCCTCTCCTCCTCCTCGTCATCTTCCTCCCCCTCCTTCTCCTCCTCCTCCACCACGCCCCTGGGCGGCGAAAAGAAACGGGTCTTAGGCGAAATGGCATAGCGACGTTACGCGGTGGCTTACGCGGGCCGCCAGCGCGTCGCGCCGCATTGGAAACGGTGGAGCTTAGCGCGACCTTACGGGGCAGCCTATGCGCGTTGCCCGGGCAAACGAATGGGTTCTTCGAGTCGCTCGTTTGGGGAACTACACCAGACGGCGAATAGAACAAGATCTATCGCAATGCGAAGGAATTGGTGGGAATGCAGGAGGTCCGATGTGGTGGAGAGCACCTCTGCCGTGACCTCGAGCATCGAGGCCCCTCCTTCGCCCAGAGTGGGTTGAATACCCCCCAAGGGCTAGGCCTGCTGTCCACAGGAAGCGCGAGACCTCAGGTGAGCTCCGCTCATGGACTGCTGACCTCCTGCGCGCGAACTAATCCCAAATAATACTGTTCCTCCCCCTTCTCCTCCTCATTCCTTCTCCTTTTCCTCCTTTTCTCGGCACCGTTCCCCTCCCGGAGGCCTCATGCTCGCCACCCATGAGGCCGATGCGCCTCCGCTAGCGCAGCACCAGTGCCAGGGGCAGTGAATGGGAAAGGGGTACAGAATTAATCATCATCCCCCTCCTCCTCCTCCTCCTCCTCCTCCTCCGCCTCCTCCTCCTCCAGCATGAGCGGCCCAAGGCGCCTCCACAGCCACTTGACACTTGCCTTGACGCCGACCCACAGCGCCGTGCCGCGGCGTGCTTGCAACTACTGAAACTAGCACCTTTGGCACCACACTCCAGTCGAGCCAGACAGATTCTCCTCAGCAGGTGTTGTCTGGGCTTTGGTGCATGCCTGGACTTTGATGGCGGAGTCCGTCACAGGTGGAGGTCCCGGCTGACTGTGTACAGCGAAAACCTCAGTACCTGGACGTACTCCAAGTTTGGGGCTGCAGTGGGACATGGTGTATTCAATTCGCTCCTGCTTTGACTCCTTCCTGCATTCCGTGGGAAACGCCCGTCCCAGGCAAGTGGAGGTCCTAGCGGCTGCGCCTGGCAAAACCATTCCCTGCATAGGAGCACTACAGTTTTGAGGCTGCAGTAGGGGTTCAATGCATTTTCAAATCTGCATTGCGAGATTCGTTTCGCCATCGCTCGGTGTGTTGCAGAGGTGCGCCATTGACACTGATCACTGTGCAGGCAGCGGATTCCATTCCCTACGTGGTCTGGCGCGGGGGATGCTTTACGCCTCTAGCGGGTGGCTCGTAGCCCGTCGATAAGGACCTGGTGGATCCTGTCTAACCGTTTGCCCAGCCATGTGATGTTTAGCCGCGGCACGAGATATTACTCGGCACACTCAGGTCGGCCTGCACTCTCAGCGGTAAAGATCTGTGCGCGGTGAATGTGGGCCTTTTACGTGTTGCGTCACACCATTCAAACTTTGCGGTACGTCATGGCTTTCACTAACCTGGTGGTGAGGCACTTGGATATCTGGCGGAATATGTATGGGCCATCTGTATGGGTGCTCTTCTCGTGGAGTCTGACGGACAGACAGACAGACACACAGAAAGAGACAGACCCCGCGCGCAAGAGTCCACGACAGGGGATTGGGCGGGGTCGGGGGCCGGAGCGCCCTTGAAAACACTAGGCATCCGTTGCCATAAACATGTAAACTCAACTTCTGGAAAAGACTAGAAGCCAACCTCGAGCCTCGCCCAGTCAGAAGTCAAAACCATAAAATGCTTCCAGGTTGTTTGTGTAGTTTGCAACGTCGTCTGTCCATCGAATTGATGGTCACGCTTGTGTGCGCAGTGTGGAGGCTGAGGAGCCTGGAATACCAGTGAGAACGCCGCGAATACTGCATCGCGTGCAACTTCGTGATCATCGGGGCAGGCGGGCGCCGCATGTTCGTTGCACACGCATCGGCAACACGGCCCACTCCGCTCCACTCCACGCAGCTCCGCTGCGTTCCACTCCACTGAAGCTAAAACATACTCCTCCTCCTTGTCCTCATCCAATTGTTTTTTCCTCCTTCCCCGCCTCACCCATGCGGGCGAAAGAGACAGGGAATAGGGAGATGGGCATCGAGAAGTGGAATGTGGGACTGGCGCAAAACAAACGGCGAAATCGAATGGGGGGGCAACGGCGGAAAACGGAGTGGGGAGGGAACGATGATATGGATAACGGGCGGGGGATGGTGGAAGGGCGGGGGGGAGTGACCTGTTCTTGCTCGTCGTCGCCTGGCTTTTCCATCCCTGCCCCCCCATCCTCCTTCCCGCGCCGTTCCACCCATCGCGGTGCACAATGCACAACACCGCGCAAGATCACGCGGCCCTTCCGCGCACGCGCGAATGGTTTGCCGGGGCAAAAGAATACGAACCCGTGGCACGGGTGTTTCGTTCGGGCCCGCGCGATATAAGCGCAGTTTCGATCAATGACGCCCGCGGGATGGCGTCTCGACCAAGGAGTGGAGGAGGGAGAGGAAACTCTAGGGCGAGAGGGAAAAGGGGGGCGAGCGACATGTGCACATTCACACACACACACACATATATATATATATATATATACTAGAACCACACGCGCGCTTCGCGCGCGCTTAGGTTCTGTCGAGTCACAGACCCAGGAATCGTTGCGAGAAGAAATTGGTGACGCGAAGCGTCTTGGGGGCGTCCTTGGACGTCTGGGGTCTCCTGGGGCCTCTTGAGGGGCCTCCTTGGGGCCTTCTTGGGCTCCATCTGGAAGCCAAGATGGATGCAACAAGAGGGTGCTTGGGCTCTCCGTGAGCTATCCTCTGGTTTTCATTCCCCTGGAGAGGAGAAGGAGGAGGAGGAGGAGGAGGAGGAGGAGGAGGAGGAGGAGGAAGATGCAGAGGAGGGAGGAGGAGGAAGGAGAGGAGATGTTGGGGCGCTCTTGGGGCCCTCTTGGGCTCTCTTGGGGCTCGTCGGGGCCCTCGTGGGGCCACCTTGGGCTCCTCTCGGAGCTCCAAGAGGAGCCCACAGAGGGGCCCAACATCGGTCACGCGAGAGCTCTTTCGCGTGACCGATGTTGGGGCCCTCTTGGGGCCCTATTGGGCCTCCTTGGGCCCTCTTGGGGTCTCGACGGGGCCCTCGTGGGGCCATCTTGGGCTCCTCTCGGAGCACCAAGAGGAGCCCAAAGAGGGGGCCCAACATCGGTCACGCGAGAGCTCTTCCGCGTGACCGATGTTGGGGCCATCTTGGGGTTCCTTGGGCCTCCTTGGGCCCACGTGGGGCTCCCTCGGGGCCCTCGTGGGGCCATCTTGGGCCCCTCTTGGAGCTCCAAGAGGAGCCCAAAGAGGGGCTCAACATCGGTCACGCGAGGGCTCTTCCGCGTGACCTATGCTGGGGCTCTCTTGGGTCCCTCTTGGGCCTGCTTGGGTCCTCTTGGGGTCTCGTCGGGGCCCTCGTGGGGCCATCTTTGGCTCCTCTCGGAGCTCCAAGAGGAGCCCACAGAGGGGCCCAACATCGGTCACGCGAGAGCTCTTCCGCGTGACCGATGTTGGGGCTCTCTTGGGGCTCTCTTGGGTCCCTCTTGGGCCTCCTTGGGCCCACGTGGGGTTCCCTCGGGGCGCCCTCTTGGGCCTGTCTTGGGGCCCTCTTGGGCCATCTTGGGCGCCTCTTGGGCCGTCTTGGGGCCCTCTTGGGCTGTCCTGGGGCCCTCTTGGAAGCTTCTTGGGCCGTCTTGGGGCGGTCTTGGGCGCCTCTTGGGCCGTCCTGTAACGTCGGAAAGCCCAAAAGACAACTTTGTTGAAAATGTACGTTTTACGAAGGGAATGGGCCAATTTTTGCGTCTAGGGGCCCTCTTGGGACGCATGTTGGAGGCTTCTTGGGGCCTCTTGGGGGCGTCCTTGGACGTCTGGGGTCTCCTGGGGCCTCTTGAGGGGCCTCCTGGGGGCCTCCTGGCGGCCTCTTGGGGCGGAAGGCTCGAGCTTGCGGTTCGTGGTCCCCCTCTGGGCCCCCTCTTGGGCCCGTCTTGGGGCCCTCTTGGGCCATCTTGGGCGCCTCTTGGGCCGTCTTGGGGCCCTCTTGGGCTGTCCTGGGGCCCTCTGGGAAGCTTCTTGGGCCGTCTTGGGGCGGTCTTGGGCGCCTCTTGGGCCGTCCTGTAACGTCGGAAAGCCCAAAAGACAACTTTGTTGAAAATGTACGTTTTACGAAAGGAATGGGCCAATTATTGCGTCTAGGGGCCCTCTTGGGACGCATGTTGGAGGCTTCTTGGGGCCTCTTGGGGGCGTCCTTGGACGTCTGGAGGCCATCTTCAGCATCTCGGAGCCCTCTTGGAGGCCTCTTGGAAGTTTCTTGGGCCGTCTTGGGCGTTTCTTGGGCCGTCTTGTCTGACTGGGGAGGCCTCCGGCAAGCCCCGACGAGCCTCCGGGCCCCCCGGGGCGCACATTTGTGGTCGAGGTCCCGGCCCCGGGCCCCCGGACCCGGTGCGCCGTTATGTATATATATATATATATATATATATATATATGGACACAGAAACAAACAAACAGATAGTGAAAGAGCGAGAGGGAGGGAGAGAGGGAACGAAAGAGAAAAGGAAAGGGAGAGAGAGTGGAAGAAACGATAAAGAAAGAGAGAGAGAGAAAGCGATAAACAAAACAAGCAAAGACAACAACCGAAAGACCAACACCACTATCAACAACAACATCATCAACGAAAACAACAACACATGAAACAGACCCGAGCGACGAACCAGGCTCCTGCGCAACGCGTGGCCAAATAGCCGGGTATACTTTATAGGGCGCGATAGCGTGGCAAAGTACTTTTCCGCGAGCGTCATTTGAGAGGCTCGCGAGCCGTGCGACCCGCAGGGCACCGATCCATAGACAAGGGCTCGATAGAGGCGATGAGTTAGGCCCGCGGGCCGAAGGGAATTGCGAGGATTCGTAGGAGACGGCGGACATGGAACTTGAAAACTTCAGCGGTGCAGCAGCAAGAGGACAAGGCAAAATGAAAGAAGCGACGACGAAGCAAGGGCAGCGGAAGCGGGGAAACGACGTGTCAAGGCAAGCCGCACTCACTTACAAATGGCGCAAGAACTGCGCGAGGCCGAGCTGCTCCCCGACACACGTCGGCGCGGGAGGCGCGCGCGCGCGCGCGGGCGGGAGGGCCGAGGGCGACCCGCGAGAAAGGACCTGCAGCCCCGGGCCCCGAATCATCCGGTCATCGTCGGCCCTCGCGGCCCCGGCAAACACCGCGCATGGGGCGCGGCCGCCGGCAGCCCTGGTAGTCATCGCCTTTGCACCTGGCGTCGACGTCGATTCCGAGGCGCATGGCCCGGCCCTGGCGGGCCGTGGAAGTCAGGACTTGCGCGCTCGCGATAGGGCGGCCAGCGCGCGTGGCCCTCGGCGCGCGAGACAAGAATGGGCTCGAGACCTGCGGCGCGACGATCACAAGTCGCGCCGCGTCGGAAGCGCCGACGTTGAGGTCGATCCCCGCGGGCTTCTCGCCGACGGCGCGGGCGCCCCACTTGTCCGCGCGGGCCCAGGCGCCGAGGGGCAAGGACCGCGGGTGCGCCGGGCGCCCCCCTGCCTTCGCCGACCTCGCCCCCGCTTC